GTTATCCGTGGATCACTTTTCCCAGCCACACACCTGTGGAGGTGCAGGTAAATATAGTGGCAGCAGTCCACTAGTGGTTAACCCTGGTGAACTTCAGCCCCAGAGTTTAGCTTGGGTGTTGCGTTGGGAAAAAGTCCCTCCGATGTTAGAGTCAGAAACTTGGTAGCTCCCCTTACCCCTTGGCTGTGTCTACACTGGCATGTATTTCTGGAAATGCTTAAAACGGAATACTATTCCGTTTTCAGTTTTTCCGGAAAAGGAGCGTCTACATTGGCAGTCTGCTTTTCCAGAAAAGCGTCTGTGGCCAATGTAGACGCGCTTTTCCGGAAAAGAGCCCCGATCGCCATTTTTGCGATCGGGGCTTTTTTCCGGAAAAGACTACTGGGCTGTCTACACTGCCCTTTTCCGGAACAGTGTTCCGGAATAAGGACTTATGCCCGAGCGGGAGCAGAATAGTTTTTCCGGAATAGCGGCTGATTTTGTACAGTAGAGCATCGTTGCTTTTCCGGAAATTCAAGGGCCAGTGTAGACAGCTCGCAGCTTATTCCGGAAAAGCGGCTGATTTTCCGGAATAAGTGGCCCAGTGTAGACACAGCCCTTGTGTTTATGATGAAAGGTCTGAGACATACACTCAAGAGGCAGAGGTAGAAGGTTTATATGTCTGGAGATTTTGTATTATTATTATTTCCATTTTCTTAAAACTCTGCTCTAAGCCTGAAACACATTTTCTGTTAATAGGTCCCTGGAGAAGTTGTCAACACTCTGTGCGGATACAAGACCCTGGAAAAAGAGGTAAGTCGCGCCTTTCATTTGCAATGTCTCTCTCTGCTCACCGTCTCTTTCCTGGGCCACCCATTCTCCAGGCATGTGCGTCCTCAGGAGCTGTTTGCAGGACTGGATGAGCCAGGCACTGTACAAAGCCCCTCCTCTTAAGAGGTCTCTGAGGAGTGGATACGGCTTTGAGGGGTGGTGTTGGGGAGAGTGCGGAATCTCTGACTTGCTGCAGGGTTGTTTGGTCAATGTCCGATTCATGAGTTACTCTTCATGGTCCCATTGATTTACTGTATGTCTAATCAGCCACTGGGGGGCCTCCAACTGTCAGGGGTCTCTCTGGGTTTTGTCACTGGTTATAAATCCAGTCCTTTGGTGCATCCGAACCATGCAAATTAATAAATGTACCTTCTTTTCTTAATAATTGATGAGCAAGGGAAGGCTTAACTGGAGGGAATTTTCTCTGTAGTTTTATAACCCAGCTATTTTGCGATGTTTGTTTGTTTTGTTTGTTTTTTTAAGAAAATTTTTATCCGATAACAGTGGTCCACTTTCTGTCAATCTGAGCAATGGACAGAAATTTCTGGTGGTGTCAGGTTTTTTGGGGCAGGAGCTTTCTGTCTCTGATGTCTGTACAACCTCTTAGCACAGGGGGCTAATAGTCAGTGCCACATGACAGATAATAAATAGCTTATTGGTTTTTAACACTTTTGATCCCAAAGGTCATCACTAAGCTGCCGGACATCCATACCTGGTTCCCTGTACAATCACTGTAATGTATTATTTTTGTAATATGTTTAATATTAGGTTGGACATTAGGAAAAACTTCCTACCTGTCAGGGTGATTAAACACTGGAATAAAATTGCCTAAAGAGGTTTTAGAATCTCCATCACTGGAGATATTTAAGAGCATATTAGATAGACATCTGTCAGGGATGGTCTAGATGGTGCTTGGTCCTGTTGTGAGGGCAGGGGACTGGATTTGATGACCTCTCGAGGTCCCTTCCAGTTCTAGAATTCTACGATTTAGGTCATCTCCAGCTGCTCCAGTAAAACCAGTTGCTGTCTAAACAAAGAGAAAGAGCTAATTCCTGCATCAGCCGTGGAAGGAAAATCCCATTTTCAACAAGGCTGCCAGAGCACAGCCCCCTACTCTTACTATAAGCATCATCAGATTTGTGAGGTCTGCATACAGCAGAGAAGACCTCGGGACTTTTTAAAGTCTTGTGTATAATGAATAAACTGCAGAGTTCAATTTATCAAATTCTGAAAAATTTGAACCATTACCTTAGACAACTTTCCATGTCTAATTATTAGCCCATTAAGCCATCCTTTCCATAATTGGATGAAATTTGTCATGCAGCACCTTGCCCTGCTACCTAGCTAATTCCATACATAACTATGATTAAAATTTGTCGGCAGTAAAGAAAAAAACGGAAAGATTTAATTACTGTCAAAAAGAGGAATAATTAATGGAGGCTTAAGCATGAGCTGCTACTATAAATACAAGGAAAGATTTAATTACTGTAAAAAAGGGGAATAATCAATGGAGGCTTAAGCATGAGCTGCTACTATAAATACAAACACATGCTGTAAAATGCTCTTTAGCAGCTTTGTAATAAAGGGCATTTACCCAGAATGTTTTCCACCAGCAACGCATTATTCATTCGGGGATAATTAAGTTAAAAAGCTGCTAGGCAGATAGAAAAAAAATCGGAAGCCAGAATGTTAAGGACGTTTTTATACAGGACTCAGAGGGGTTGCCACGTTAGTCTGTATCTGTGAAAACAATGAGAAGTCCTATGGCACATTAGAAACTAACAGACTTATTAGGGCATAAGCTTTCGACTGTCTGAAATATTAATTACAAGTGCCTTGTCATGCAGATCCCAAAAGCGTGATGCCTCCAAAAAAAGCACGTCCAGTTGTGATTACAGATTAGAAAACTGTCATTTCCTCATCCCTAGCTGAATCGTTGCGACAAACGTGATACTTCAGTAGGTGAAGGAGGCACGTTGCAGCCTGTCAAAACACTGCCAACAAAAATGGGGGGAAAGCAAAGTGTCTGGACCTGCTGTTTTCATGACTGAAGGCCTTTCAAAGTAGAAACGCCTTCTACTCCAAATCTGACAGCATGGGTGTCTCCTGTCTTCCAAAGGGTTGGAATCACACAGGGAGCAGTTCCACCTATCATACTCACCAATTTCACTGAGGTCGCATTTCACTGTCATCCCATATTCACCTCAGAGCGAGGTGTTGTGCCTGGCTTGTGGGGGTGCTTTTCTTCTCCATGGTTTCCCAGAGCGTACTGTCTCTGCAGCTGCTTTGCCCTTTGTAGCTGTCGATAACAGTGCCAAGATTAAGTTCCCCTGATGCAGCTCTTAGCCCTCATGTACTCAGGCCCTCTCAGGGGTCCACAGAGGCCCAGGCCACTTCCAGCTTTGAGGCCCTTCATAATAAAAATAAAAAATGACGACACATGAAAACAAAAGGCACCAAAAAAACTGAGACATAATTTGAATATTTTTTATTTAACAAGTGCTTTTCTAGCCTGTGTGTGTGTGTGTCACGTTTTGGTCCCACAGAGCAGTAGTTCCTAACCTTTTTTATGCCGTGAACCGGCAAACCCATTCACAAATGTATTTGTATATTCATTATGCAAACAATGAATATGCAAATATGCAAATAAAACATTCCCAGTTGGTCTAGCCTCAACCCAGCCCCTGGGGGGGAAGGAGGGAGGTGCCAGTGTTACCTCAGCCCCAGTGTTACCTCTGGCAAGAGCAGCCATACAAGCGGGGGAGGGCAGGTAGGGAGACACGTCTCCTGCTCCGCCTCAGCCCCAGTGCTGCCACTGACGAAGTGGAGCCCTGCAGAGTCGTCTCCTGCTCCACCTCCTCCTGGGGGAGCAACTGTTGACGGTGTATACGCCTCCCTCCTCCTTCACACCCCTTCCCTCTCTAAGCATGGAGGAGGGAGGAAGGCGCCTTCCGCTCCACCTCCTGCTGCTGCCATCTGAGTTGCCACGGCTCCCAGAAGAGAGCACCTGGAAAAGCCGGCTTGAGCTCCAACAGCCACCGCGGGCCCGCAGCCAGTAGTTGGTGGCCCTGCAGCAGACCACAGACTGGCGGTTGGGAACCGCTGCCGTCAGGATGTGCATAAAAACAAGTTGCAAAAGTTATCAAATGGCAAAAAATAAATAGGGGTGTCAATTTGGGCTTTGAGCTTGGCGACTAGGCCAAATGGCCCTCCTGTCCTGTCCTCTGGTGTACCCTTGTACTTGAGAGAGTTTGTCTGTCTGTTTGCTCAAGAACTCCTCCTAAACGGTAAGAGCTAGGACTACTAAATTCGGTAAGCAGCTTTCTCTTCTCCACGTCAGATGGATTCAGTCTCCCATCTTTTTGAGAACCATGCAATCGTTTTGTCTTGTGGATACAGAGGTGCACTCTAGAGACTGCCAACTTAATTCATTAAGGCTGCTTATGCAAATCACTTTTGGTCACTATTAGCCTACATTGGATTTAAACCGGTGATTCAGCAGAGAAAAAAACTCCATATCGCAGACCATGACCCATCCTTCTGAGCTGGATAATTCTTTCTTGGGTCATTTCCAAAATCTGGTACATCAGATTAACTGGATTTATGGTGCATAAGCATAAATGAGACTAGAATTCGCCCCTTTTTTCTTCTAATTTGTGAATGATCTCTAAGGCTGTGGATTAGCTGTTGGTTTTTTTCCTATCCTGAATATTTTCCAGTCAGTTTCCTCCTTAAAATACATCAAAATGCTACTGTTCTCTCAGTGGGATTAAGAAAAGCAACAGCAGTGCCATAAGACCAGAGCAGGTATGCTAGTTAAATGTAGCTGCCGACTCAAATGTGTCCAAATACCACAGCTATCATAGGTCATTTTAATAGGCCTCCACTGTAGGCGGGAGAGGTCAATAGCCATAATTTACTTCAATGCATTTTGCTGCTTGCTGCCTTGCACAAATTCTATCAAGGCCAGTTAAATTACAGCCACGTTCAGCACCATCCTTTCTGAGCATGTATGGCTGTCGCTTGTTTTGTTCCCAGGTTTTAGCAAAGAGACGGGCTCCTTTAGGAACCAGAGTTTAGTGCCTGGTGACGCACTTTCAGAAAATACGCTCGTTACCACCGCTGAAAGATGCAGATAAAACCGATCTGGCTGACGTTGGCATTTTAGGCTGAAAGGCTTTGGGCTTGAGTGTTACAGCCAGAAGGAATGTGAAGGTTTTACCATGAGGCTCCTCCTGATTTCAGCATGTTGTGTAAGAATTACAGCCACTTTTTAAAACAGTGGCGGGCAATCCGTGGTCCATGCATCCCTTCTCTGTCCCCTTCCCCCATGCCTCTAATGCACTGGGGCACTGGAGCAGTGTTCCTTTTAAGTTCAGTGCTTGGGTGGCCACGCAGCAGAGATTCAGGTGCTGCCCAGCTGAGTACCCACACAGCCTACAACCAGCAGCATGTGTTTATATTGGTGGCGCACATCTACACATGTTTTGGTGCACCCAACAAAATTTATTCTGCACATGGGTGGAAAAATTAGAGAGAACATTTCACTGGAGCCCTGCATTTACTGCCCTCCCTCCCAGCACTTTTGAAGTGCTATAAATCACCTGATTTGCTCTCTGTCCCTGCTCTTCCCCCTCCCACCCAGCATTTTTGACTGATTCTCAGCCGAATCAGCTGATTTGTGGTGTCCAAGCTCTGGGAGGGATGGGAAAGAATGTGAATCAGGCAATTCATGGCACTCCGAAAGTGCTGGAAGGGAGGGGAAAGAGGAGGTAAGTGCGGGGTTCCCATGCCCTAATGCGTGAAAGGCTTGGGGGAAGGGGCAAAGAGGGGGTGTACAGGCCACCCACAAGTGGAACCCCAATGGGCCACAGGCGGGCCACAGGATGCCCACCATGGGATTTTGATTTTGCAGGCCACTGAGACAAAGGAGGGTCATTCATGCAGCCCACTCACTAGCCTTGGTTGCCCATTGCTACTTTAAAAAGATGCATTTTTTATATACCGAGCAGTTGCACCCTAATATAAAAAGCTTTAGAAATGACTGTGCAAAGAAATAGAAATGTAGCCGTGTTAGTCTGGTGTAGCTGAAACAAAAAACAGGACTATGTAGCAGTTGAAGGACTAACAAGATGTTAGTCTGTAAAGTGCTACATAGTCCTGTTTTTTGTTTCACCTAATAAACCATCTTGTTAGTCTTTAAAGTGCTACATAGTGCTGTTCTTTGTTTATGCAAAGAAATAAATTCCCCCCGGGGCAGTCAACTGTCTCGTGGAAAAAACCACTGGCAAGTCAGGACCACTTCAAAGACAACAAGAGATGTTGGGCTCCCAGTTCCCAGGGGGGTTCCAAATATCTGACGCTCGGGTTCTGTTCCTCTTGCAGCGACTGCAGTTGGTTGACATTATCCACGTGCGAGGCTGTATCCATGCACTTGGCCTGTGGTTTAAAGACAACTTTGAAGTCACCTTTGGGATAGTTTGTTCCTTGCTGCTTCCCCAGGTAGGTGAGAACTTTGTTGTTTGTTATCATTTGCCCTTTTCCAATCATGACGTGCGGGGTTAGGTGACAAGCAGGAAATCTTCTTTGTTTTCACCTCCAGCTTTGTCTCCCACCTGACAAGGGCTTGGGGAGGAATGGTTGTTACCTGCTGTACTGATCTGCTGAAATTAGATGGGCTTTCACAATCCTTTCAGCTAAGTGTCATGCAATGTAAGGGTTCCTCTTGGGGTGAAAGAGCGTGAGAGAGCTCCCTGTGTTCTCCTTTGCAAAAATTTAACAGCCGTGCATATCCTGTTGTTAGCCAGGTATGCAGTAAGCATTTTTGGAGATTAACTGGATTTTTGGCAGATAAAATCTGCAAGTGAATTAATGCTTTGAATTGTTATGTTAACTCCTGTAATAGAATGGACATTGTTGTGTCCTTTATAATGAAACTAGGTACAGTTTGAACCTCTCTAGTCCATCACTCTTTAGTCCAGCAATAGCCGTGCTCTGGCATGATGTTTGTCAGCCGGATGTTCACTTATCATGGGTGTGGCCAAGTTTTCCACAGTCCCCTAAAGTTTGTTTAAAGCCACCAGTCCTAGTTCTTAGTGTTCTGTGTTGTCGTTTACCCCTCTATGTCTTCTAAGAGTCTTGTAAGCAGGGCAAGTGTTGGTCATTCTGCTAGACAGTGTTGACCTCCCGTGGTCTGGAAAATTCTCTGGTTTGGCACCGGTCAAGTCCCAAAGGTGCTGGACTAGAGATGTTCAACCTTTACATCATTCTTAAGGCAGGCCATTGCTCCTGAGAGCTTCCAGGGCTAGGACCATATGACTCAAAAGAGAGAAGTCTTCTAGAGCATAGTTGTAACCCTGAGCGTTTCTGCTATATTGTCCCAACAAGTCTTTACTCTTGGCTTGGATTTTGCAAAACCAGATGTCGATTGGATTCAGCATCTCATGTGAACCCCACAAGTGGTTTGGCTCCCACCTCATGTGAACCTCACAAAACTGGTTCTGCTGCACTCTGATTTTTGCTTACACAACATTTTTGGAATGTAAACATCAAAATAGACATTGATACCTAAGGGGAACTTTTCCTGTTCTGACAAGTGTGCACAGTATTGAAAAGCTTTCAAGTCATTCTTAAGCAGAAATACAATATACTGCCCGATGTCCTCTTCTTTCACTTAGCCGTGAACACGCACTGTTGCCAGTGGCAATGCACTTTGTCAGCACCTACTACTATTACTGCACCCTGTAGATCAGAGGAATAAGTCACTGTAAATTGGATTCTAATCGTGTTGGTATGCTGCTAGAAAACTTTCTTGAGCTTCCCTTGCTGACTGAACTGTGATGGGCTAAAAAATTCAGCATGTGGTCATAGTCTTCTATTTTTATGTATTTGTTTCTAAAGAAAAGTTACAGCATGCATGAACGCATGCAGTTTCTCTGTGCTGGCTACAAAACATTCTCTAACTGCGCAGACATGCGATCCATTCAGTCTTGTGGTGAAAGGAATGAGAATGCTGACGAGTATGAGTCTGAAGCATTCATGGCCAGTTTTGGGGCTTGCTTTCTGAGCGGTTTGGTTTCGGGTTGCTTTCTCAGTTGACTGCATGTTTAGCTGATCCGTATGTTGAACTTAGAACTGCTACCAGAACTCAAGCTAGGGGCACATCACAATACATCAGAGCCGGGTTACTCGACACGTGGCCTGCGGGCCACATATGCAGCCTGTGGCCTGTTTGTTTGCGGCCCACGGGTGGGAGCTAAAACAAAAAAGTAGTGAATATAATGGTCTTCTGTTGATAAGCATTTTAGTAGTTAAATTCCTGGACTTCATTGCTCATTAAAAGTGCTGTCATATGGGTGGAAATGGGGTAAATATTGCATTGTATTAATATCAGCAGAACTGACTTAAATGGGGCCTGTGTGTTGTGTAGTCTTGCCTTAATTTTTCTATTCATGCCCATCAGTGTGAAATAAGCTATTTGCATGTATATGCAACTACACTTAAGTTCTGGCCCTCGGCATGAGCTGTGAATATCCTCGTGGCCCCCGGGGCTTCCAAAGTTGAGTAGCCTGCATTAGAGGCTAAAAGAGCCTAGAATCATAGAATACTAGGACTGGAAGGGACCTCGAGAGGTCATTGAGTCCAGTCCCCTGCCCTCATGGCAGGACCTAGTACTGTCTAGACCATCCCTGATAGACATTTATCTAACCTACTCGTAAATATCTCCAGAGATGGAGATTCCACAACCTCCCTAGGCAATTTATTCCAATGTTTGACCACCCTGATAGTTAGGAACTTTTTTCTGATGTCCAACCTAAACCTCCCTTGCTGCAGTTTAAGCCCATTGCTTCTTGTTCTATCCCCAGAGGCCAGGAAGATGCGGTGGTCCCAGAGGGGCTGATCTGAAGAGAAATGAGTGTCACATGTGACAGCGATAATAATAATAATACCCAGCTTTCAGAGCTCTGTCCTCACTGATGCAGAGCAGCAGTCAGGTGAATTCTGTACAGGACTGGAATCAGGAGGTGTTTGTTTTCTCCCCTGCCACTGATTGACTCTGTGTCCTACAGCACACCACTGTCCCTCTTGGTGCCTCGGTTTCACCATCAGTACATAGTACAACATGTATATTTTGCCATGTCACGTTTCACTCTGTTGAATATGTCGCCTTTAGACTCAATAGCTATCTGATCAATACACAGTTTGCCAGAATCCTGCCACCTTGCCTAGTTTGCTAAATATTCTGCCATCACTTTTATGGTCAACAGTGTAATCGCGTGTAAAATGTCTTTCTTAGAAGCCAGCATCTGTACAGCATTTACCACTAGACAATGGAAGAGATTAATATTTCTAAATTAATTACTTGTCCTTGACTTTCTCTTCTGTCCTCTTTAAACACGGTTTAATCCCCACTGCCACCTGACATAATGGGATTTCCTGACGAATATAGATAAATGATGAAGTGTCTTCATTATTCAGTCTTCAATTTCTATTTCACTGGAGACTTTTAATAGCTATGAAGTAATATTAAATATATTAACTCATATGCTGTTTGCATTAACTGCATAACTCAATTTTAGGTGTTTCTTTTTTGATGGAAAAAATATTGTAGAGCGGTGTTTCCCAACCTTTTTGCGCATATAGATCCCTTTTCAGTGTATTAAAATGTCACAGACCCTCCAAACAATATAGATGTTTTTAAACATTCCATTACTTGATAATCATTTGAAATGTATAATAGTTCATGAAGTTCAAGGGTGGAACTTCGGGAGGATGTAGCGGGCAAGGATGGAACTTCGGGAGCGCAGTGGGGCAGCAGCTATGCACTCTGGGTCTTGGCTTACTTTTGATCCTGTTCCCTGGATGCTAGGGGAGCAAGGAGAAAGTGATTGCATGTCGTGCATGCCTCTTGCACATCAGCCAGGCATGGGAGGCTTGCATAGCATGCAAGTACTTTCCCCACGCTCCCTTAGCATCCGGGGAACCACAGTGGGCCCAATCCTTATTTTTCCATTTCCGCAGACCCCTTGTTCGGACCACAGGTGGGGAACCACTGAGAAAGTTACTAGTAAAGAAAAACGAATAGTCGCTGCTCCCTCAAAGTCAGGACCCCTTCACGTGTCCAAGTTGGACTGCAAAACTCCCTATGAATCTTTGAACATTGTACATAACCAACGTGTTGTTTATAATCTGTCCCAGTGGGAAGTGAAGACTTTTTGAATTGTGTTCACTTCTTTTGCCTTATCACAACCGTACGGAAATTCCTCCTTCCACTGAAAGAAATTCTCCAGTTCTGTGGTGACACCATTTTGGGTGTTTGCCCTAGGGGATTAGACTATGAAACTGTGCTGTATTCTCAGCTCCACCAGTTCAGGTTGATGGTGGGCAGGTCATAACAGTTGTTTCCACCCAACGATATCAAAGCACCATGGACCTCACATACTCAGGGAAAACGGAAACCCGGAGAGACAGGTCGGGCTGGCGAAGGGAACAGAATCAAAGTGTCCTGTGTCCTCCTTGTGATTTGGCCACAGCACCATCTTTCATAAAATCCTGGGTCCTTGTCAGGATTGAGGTTTGCCTGCCAGTCATTGCTAGTAGCCCTAAAACTGCTATAGGTTGAACATCTGTAGCCCGGCACCTGACCAGTGCTGAGCCAGAGAATTTGCTGGACCTTGGGTGGTCAATATTGTCTAGCAGCATTACCAACACTGCCACTGCTTTTAGAAGACATTTTGGGGTAATTTAGAGGTAAATAACAGCACAGAACAGTGAGAGCCAGGACTGGTGGCTGTAAACAAACTTTAGGGGTACGTCTAGACTACAGGCTTTTGTCGACAGAGGCTTTGTCAACAGATACTGTCGAAAAAGAGCATCTAGACTACAGCCAGTTCTGTCGACAACACAGAACAGTGAGAGCCAGGACTGGTGGCTGTAAACAAACTTTAGGGGTACGTCTAGACTACAGGCTTTTGTCAACAGAAGTTTTGTCGACAGATACTATCGACAAAACTTCTGTCGACAAAGAGCGTCTACACTACATTCAGTTCTGTCGACAAAGCAAGCTGCTTTGTCGACATGGTAGTGTAGACGCAAAGGACAGTTTACATGCAATAACACCTTCTGTCGACAGAAACTCTGTCGACAGAAGGCGTTATGCCTCGTAAAATGAGGTTTACCAGCGTTGACAAAACTGCTGAGTTCTGTCGACGTTATGTCGACAGAACTCAGCGGTAGTGTAGACGCAGGTATAGTTTTGTCGACAAAAGTCCACTTTTGTCGCCAAAACTCTGTAGTCTAGACACACCCTAGGAGACCACGGGAAACTTGGCCACATCCATGAGAAGTGGACATCTTGGGTGTGTCTAGACTACATGCCTCCATCGATGGAGGCATGTAGATTAGACAGATCGGCAGAGGGGAATGAAGCCGCTATTTTAATAAACCCAG